AAAAATATCTCATTTTGTCCTTCCAACAACCCTGAAGGGTAAGTACTGTTATTATCTCCATTTTACTGATGAGGAAACTAAAGCAGAGGTTAAGTTACATGTCCAGGGTCATACAGCTGGTAGGTGTCTGGGGCAGAATTTGAACTCAGAACTTCCTGATTCACTATTCAGCCCTCTATCCACTGAGCCACCTAGCTGACAATCACTACTATTACTATTATTGCAACTGCTACAACTATTAATAATAATACATGATAATATATAACACTTAATGCTCATCTAGGGGCAGCTAGGGGGTGCCATAGTGCACAGAGCATTGGGCCTGCAGTCAGGAAGACTCATCTTCCTGAGTTCAGATGCAGCCTCAGGCACTTACTAGCAAGTCACTTGGCCCTGTTTGCCTCAGTTTCCACATCTGCAAAATGAGCTGGAGAAGGAAATGACGAACTACTCTAATATCTCTGCCAAGAAAATCCCAAATTGGACACGACTGAAAAGATCGAACAACAAATGTCTTTCTGCTGTTTAAATTTTGCAAAGTGTTTCATACACATTTGCATGTAAGCACTTTGGTGAAGGACATGCTCTCTCCACTTTTTCCTAATTCAAGGAAATTCTAGGTAGATCTTCTGATTAGTTCTTATGGTCCAAGTGTTTGCAAACCAGAACAGTCATGTAGGCAAGGGGCCTGAAATCTACACAATGTGATGATTTCTTGAAGGAGCTAGGAAAGCTTGCTTTAAAGAAGATGTGGCATGGTACATACGGTGGGGTGGGAAGATGGGTCGTGCTTGCTGTCTTCCAGTACTCGGAGGATCAGGAGGTAGATGTGGAATTAGCCATTGTCTATATGGCTTCAGGGGCCAGATCCAGAGTGTTGCAAAAAGGCCATTGTAGACCTGGTGTTAGTTACCTTTCTGGTACCATATGAATTGTGGAGGATTTAGACCGAGAAGACCTGGGTTCAGATCCTGCCTCTGGTGCATGCTATCTGTGTGACCTCGGCAAGTACTGGAATGATGATATAGTGGATATCAAGCCGGCCTTGAAGACCTGGGTTCAAGGGCCCTCAGGAACAAACTGGCTGTGTGACCCTGGACAAATCACTTAACCTCTCGGAACTCTAAACAATTCTCCAAGACTACACATTACAAAGTGCTCATCTTCTTCTGGAAAGTTCCTTAGAGTAATGAGGTCAGGAGCCCACTCCCTATCCTTATGGGCAACAGCATTAGCCACTAGTTGCTTTGAGGTCTAAATCACAGCGCTGTTTAAAAAAAATCTAAATCAAATTTTCTTTTTTCAAATGGAGTAATAGCAGAGGAGAGGGTAAGTTGGGTCTGAGTACCAAATACAGAGCAAAAGAAAGAAAACCCCAACATGCAATTTACCCATGTGGTGTGGCAGGACCTCAGGATTTGGACCCAGAGGCCTGGGTTCATGCCTAATGCTCATATGACCTTGGGCTACTTACTTCTCTCTCCGGGGCTCAGCTTCCTTATGAGAGGTTGGTCTAAATGGCTCCTGAAATTCTATTCTCTTTCTAAATTTGACATATGGACCCACTCACATGTTCTAAACTCTCTTCAATCTAAGAAAATTTACAGCAGTTTAATGGTGGAAATAAATTATTGAGGCACATTGGACAAAGGAATGTATCCTGAGTCCTCCTTGATTCTCTGAGCCCTGTGAATGACTTCAAGGAGAGAGCCGCTCATTCAAAGACAGGTATGGAGGGCTTCCTGATGCTAATGCAAGGGGGCATGGGAGATGCAGATACGAAGATGAGATGCTCCTGCCCTGAGGAGCTTACAGTTTGATCAGGTATCATTTTATTACATAAGGTTTTGAGAGGCAGCGTGGCATAGTGTTTAGAACGGTGGCCTCAGAGCCAGGAAGATCTGGGTTCAAGTACTGCCGTTCACATACACTGGCTGTGTGACCCCAGGCAGATCACCCGATCTCCCAACTGTCCAGGAAACTAGCGGCTTCCTCCACCAACGAAGTCCCTGATATAGAGGGGGGAAATAGTATCTTAGGTCCTAACCCTTTCCTCACAACAGTGTGAAGTAGGTAGTTTAGGGGTTGTTATCTCTGTTTTACTAATAAGGAAACTGAGGCTCAGAGAGTTTATGAGATTTACCCAGGGTCAGAAAACCTCATGAAGATATTAGGATTGAGTTGCCAGTGGACCATCTATGTGGACAATCATAAAGGAGACAGTTGGGTCTGGAGTTGAGGGCAGGATTGGAGAAATCAGTTAGAGGCTACAGTTGAAAGACTGCAAATGGATGAGATTGATAAGAAGAGAATGTCCATAAAGGGTTACCCCTTAGGAGAAAACCTCCCCTTAGGTGGGGAGGAGGCATCTGTATCAGTGGTGAGGTAGATAGGAAGGGCCAGGTACACAAATCACTATAATCTTCATAACTTATATTTCTATAATGCTGTAACTTTTGTCATGGGTGTGCCTTACCCCAATCTCATAGGATAGATGGGTCTAAGTTTCCTCATCTGTAAAATAAGGGCATTGGGCTATATGACCTCTGAGGCCCCTCCCAGCACTGTGATTCTGAGTGGGCAATATTGAAATAGTGGCCTTGGTGCTTTCCAGCTCTGATCGTATGAATGGTTTTAGAGAATGAGGAGTGTGACCATCTCTTTTTCTTGGTCTGTGAGTCAGGAGGAGTAGGAGAAGGCATGGGCACAGCTTGAAGTGATTTCAAGAGACACGGTGCCAACTGAGCGGAGTCAGGAGTGGATTGAAACAAGGAGACATTTGAGGCATTCCTGGAAAAGGTGAAGGATATAGGAGTACAGGCTGAAAAGTGAACATGACTTCCATCAGACTGAAAAGGAAGGGCTAGAGAGGACCTGTAGAGAGCAGAGGAGGAGAACTGAGTGGGATGGGAGGAGGGTGTGGAAGGAGATAGAAAGAGTTTTACCGAGGGTAAAATTGGGTGTGCTAGGGAGGAGGTAGGGAGCTCATCTGGAAACACACATTAAAGATAGGAGAAAATGTTGTCCCAAGGTCCATGGGGAATGTAGATACCACGCTGTAGGCCTCGGCAGGGCCGTACTCCAGAGAAGAGTAATTGAGAGCTACGTGCCATCACAGGATGATGGAAAAGGTCCAGGTTACTTACAATCTCCCAATAAGCCCCAGTTATGCATTCCTCGGTGGGTTTCCCAACTCTGTACTCCAGGGATTAGGTTAGTGGTCAGTTCAAACTTTATAGAATTAATAGCCAAGGTTATACCAGTATAAACAGCCAGAAGACCTTGGTCCAAACTGGAAAAAACAGAACAAAACCAAACAGAAGGGCTTGCAGCTGTCAGAAAGCTCTTATTCCTGACCCAATGTGATCCTGAGCTATTAATAGATAACCTTTGCCAACCATTGCCTTGTAAGGATGGTTCCTTCATTATTAATACTCCTTTGTTGAGCTCCCATGGGAAATTGATGAATGATGGAGCAGTACTGAGGAAAGTGTAGACAGAGAAGAGAGCAAGGGGCTTAGAGTCAAGAACATTTGGGTTCACATACGGCCTCTACATTGACTAGCTGTGTGAAGGCAGCATTTTGTATGATATCTCAGAGCCTTGGGCTCCCCCAGCTTAGGGATTACCATCTTTATCAGTGAAAGCATCTCCACATTAGCCAAATAACTGCTTCTCAAGCAGCTCATAGGATCGTTGGCTTAGAGCTGGAAGGGACCTTAGAGGCCATCAAATCTAATCCCCTCATTTTACAGACAAGGAAACTGAGGCTCAGTTTAGTGATTTTCCTAGGGTCACACAACCATACAAAAATCTGAGGCAGGATTAGAATTCAGGTTGGCACTTTTCTAGGATGAGAAAGTGGCTACATGGTACAATTGATAGAGTGCTGGGCCTGGAGTCAAGAAGACCTGAGTAAGTCTTTTAACTTCTATCTGCCTCAGTTTCCTCAACTATAAAAATGGGGATAATAACAGCACTTCCTTCACAGCATTCTTGAGAGGATCAAATGAGCTATGTGTAAAGTGCTTCAGTGCCCAGCACATAGTAGGAGCTTAATAAATGCTTGTTCTCTTCCTTTCCCTTCCCATTGTAGTAGAACAGGAAGAACACTAGACACTGAGACATGCAGCCAGAGTTTCAGTCCTGAGTTTGGCCACCACTAGCTGTGAGACTGAGCAAGTCATTTCATTTCCTGGAGTCTCATTCACCTCATCTGGGAAATGGGTATCATCATTCATGCATTGCCTACATCAATCAAACAACAAGAATTTAGTAAGTACTTAATATATGCCCAAGCACTGTACTAAGTGCTTGGCATATATTAAAAATAAAACAATTCCTGTGCTCAAGGAGCTTACATTCTTACCTACCACTGTTGTGAGTAAAGTGGATTTTAAGCTATAAAACACATTTGAAGAGCAAACTATTGTTACAATTAAGAGTAATAATAACAGTCATGGTGCTGGATGAATGGTCACTGGCTGCAACATAGAATAAAGAAGGAATTACAAAGTGGTAGCAGAGGAAAGAATGCCAGAAAAGAAATGTATGAGCAAAAGGATGGGCTGTTCATGCTGCGAGGCTGAGGGGAAACCACTGGGGATACCATGGGCTTTATCGGCGACCTTGAAATGTCAAGAAGAAGCAAGGAAGGCTCCTAACACAATGAGGTGAAGTTATGAGAGTTCATGGACAAGAGTCAGGCAGGATGGACAAGCAAGGGTGGGTTGCAATCTGCTTCCTTAAAAAGAGTACCAATGGTGATGAGGTCACAGATTTATTTTAGCAGTGCAGATATCAGTTCATAATAAAATGAGAGAGGGGATCTAGGTCATGCTTAAGGTCCTTTTCTACTACAGGATTCTAAGCAGGTGCTTTTTGGACAAGTCGCCTAATGCCTAGGCTTTAAGCACAAATATGTGCTTTGAGAAAACATCTCATGATACCAGCACCCTTTGGAGTACTAGGGCAGGAGCTGTTCTGGGGTCCTCACTTACGGTAGCACTGTCTTCCATCTGCCCCAAGTTCAAAGCCAGCGTTACAGGCACAGGTGTAAGATCCCACGGAATTCACACAGCGGTGGGCACACTGAGCACTGCCTTCCATGCACTCATCAATGTCTGCAAAAATAAACATCCTTTGGCTTTATGCCTTGCAATCACCAACAGAGGGGTAAATCACAACTTTAACAGTAAATTCAAATGTTTTCTTTTCCCAGTACCTAGAGTCTTTGGGATGTATGGGCACCATAACAGATAACTCATACTGAAGAAATGCTTTTTATTCTTGCCCATGTTTGCTATGAAAAATGCCACACAAGCTATAAGCCTTGTGTAGCCAAAGAGGTAACATGGCCAGCTTCTTTTTAATCAGTGCCTACAAGACAGCTACAAGAATTGACTATCCCTATGCAGTTTTCCAAATTCCCATTTTCAAAAAGAATTGTTAACATGGTCTTTTCTGGTGGCCCTCCACTTCTTAAGATTTGCCATATTTATGGGGCAGCTAGGTGGCACAGTGGATAGAGCACTGGCCCTGAAGTCAGGAAGACCTGAGTTCAAATCTGGCCTCAGATCAAACACTTGATACTTACTAGCTGTGTGACCCTAGGGAAGTCACTTAACCCCAACTGCCAAAACACACACAACAACAACAAGATTTGCCATATTGGTGCTGGACTTAGCGTGGGTACCAAATCAGCTTTAGCCAGATTGTAGTTCAGAACTTTTAAATGAAGGCTAATAATAATATTGAGGATGAGGATGAGGAGGATAAGGATGACGAATAGCTTGTATTTATATGACACCCACCTACTATGTGTCAGGCTGTGCTAAGTTCTTCACCATTATTATCTCATTTGATTCTCGCTACAACCCTGTGATGTAGGTGCTATTATTATCCCTATTTGATAGTTGAGGAAACTGAGGTAAACAGAGATTAAGTGATTTGACAAGGGTCATACAGCTAGTAAAAAAAAGTGTCTAAGGACAGATTTGAACTCAGATCTTACTGACTCCACATACAGGGTTTTATCTACTATACCTTCTATTTGCACCAGCCTTAGCCTCCCCCAGTAGCTGGGATTAAGAGTCATACACCATCATGCTCTTCTTTTTCTGATCTGCTCTAATTTGTAATCATATAGCATTACCTGGGGCATGAAGAAGTCAAGCATCTTCTCCATGGTCACACAGCTATTGGGTATCAGAGATTGGGTTTGAAGCTACATTTTCCTTACTCCAAGCAAGGTCAGTTTCTCCATCCATTTCTCTATCCATGAGAGACAACTAAGTGACATGGTGGACAGAGCACTTGAGTGGGTAGACCTTGAGTGAAGAAGTCTTGAGTTCATATCCAACCTTAGACAATTACTAGCTATGTCATCCTGGCAAGTCACTTAAATTTAGCCTGCCTTAGTTTTCTCATCTATAAAATGGGGATAATAGCATCCAACTCCCAGGGTTGTTACAGGGATCATAGGAGATAATATTTGTAAAGTACTTTTCAAACATTAAAGTGCTACATAAATGTTCACCGTTATCATCATCATCATCACCATCATCACTTCATGCTACCTCCTAGCTTCATATATAGTAGGAACTCTATGCTTGTTTTATGGAAGAGAATCCATTGCATTTGAGATTGCTTCCAGGTGCAGAAAGCTGGGGTACAGCTTTTCCATGATCTATTTCTAATACTTAAAATGAGAACAAGATGTAGTGGACAAAAGGCAGCTAGACTTGTCTTCAAATCTTGCTGCTGAAACATACTAGCTGAGTGTATGTGGAACAATTGTTTAACCCTCTACATGTCCCAGTTGCCTCTCTAAGACTATAAATCGTTGTAGCTTCTCTAAAAGTATAAATTACAATTGAGTTACTGCTTTACATGGGGAAGCGGAATTTTCACACCAGGAGTTCCCATAAGGATGAAATCACAGGTGTGCTTCTCCTGCCATCCCCACCCCACCCCCAGCGAAAGATATTTTAAGTAGCCCTACAGGAAACACGCAACGTGTTAGTGGAATCTATGTGTGGAGTCATGACTACTGAATTTGAGATCACAGATTTTTCTTCATTTTTCAGCTTAGTCATAATTCCTCAATAAAAAAGGGGCCAAATTAAACATGAATTTGCATGTCTAATGTCCTTCTATTTGCTTAAAATAAACATCTGCCTTGAAAGCCAGGAAATAGTTGATATCATCCTAAGTCATAGAGTTTCTCCTTTTTTCTTGAAAATATTACAATGGCAAAAAATTTCTCATGAATTACCAGAGGAAAAATTTGCTGCACACAAATAACTGCCTTCAGCACCTCTGGTCATAGAATAATGGATTTATCACGTTAATCTTGGAATTGAAAGTGTTTCTGTGTTGCTTTTTCAGAAAGAGGGAAACATTTAGCATATTATTCCAAGGAGAGCTTGAAAAAATCCCCTTTGTTACAATGATTTTTAAATTCTAGGAACCTTCCACAGCATACAATTCCAATTCAAGGGTCATCTTTTCTTTCTGTAGCTTATGAAGGAAAAAAAAATAAAAACAAATCCTTGCCTAGTTATTGAACCTTTTGAAATATCAATTTTGAAACTACCATTTGAATCACACAAAAATCATTAAGTAGTTTTTGTCGTTGTTTTTCAGAATTTCGTAATATGGCATAAAAAACCTTTCCAAATGATCAAAGACAAACGTGGCCTCTCTTCCAGAATCATTTCTGTATGAGCCTACCCCCGCATAAACTTCCCCCCACCTGTTCTTCCTCAAACAGAATCCCAATGAAATCTCAGCTCACTACACAATTAAGCCATTAGCCCCAGTTTCTTACCTGTGCATGACATTTTGTCTGCAGACAGATGGTACCCTGGGTGGCATGCACACCTGGCAATGCCATACTCGTTTCGACAGATATGGGAGCATCCTTTGCGTCCGCCTGAGCAGGGGTCCTTCACTACAAGCAGAAGTACAAGGAAAGGTCGGTCACCCACTTTGGGGAGGGGGAAAGCTAAGAAGCAAAGAAGGAAGCACAGGAGAAAGAACACAGATTTAGGGCTGGAAGGGACCTTGAAGGTCATTTAATCCACCTTTCCCCATTACAGCAAGGGGAACTGAGACCCAGAGACATTAAGTGACTTGCCCAACATAACACAGGTAGTAAGCAAAAAAGGTGGGATTTGGTTTTAAGTCATAACGTCATGGATTTAGAACTAGAAAGAAGCTCAGAGGCTAATTAGCCCAATACTCCCTGTCCCTCCATCTGTCCTTCTGTCCTGTCTGTCCCTCTCTTCCCATTCTCTCTCTCTCTCTCTCTCTCTCTCTCTCTCTCTCTCTCTCTCACACACACACATTTTACAGAGTGGGAAACTGAGACAAAGAGAAGCCCACTGACTTATCCAAGATCATGTGGGCAGTAAGCAAATGAGGTGGAATTTGACCCAAGGTCCTCTGCTTCTAACCCACTTCACTTTTTGAGGGGGAGGAGGGGGTTCCCTTTGTATCCCCAATATTTAGGGTAGTGTCCAGCCATAGTTGATGCTTCATAAATGTTTGTTAATTGACTGTTGATTTAGTCTTTTCACTGCACCCATGTGAGAGTGTAAAAAACATGGAAAAAAGAAGATTGCAGGGCTCTCTAATAGCCAGGATGGTACCTGTCTGATTACTCTATGAATGAAATTATCTTTGTTCTCATAGCCAGGACTAGTTTGTCCACTAACAGCTCTCATTTTTGTAGCATTTTTTGAGTTTACAACATAATTTCATCACAATAACCTTGAGAAGTAGGTAATGTAAGGATTTCATTCTCCATTTTACAGCTAAGGAAACTGAGCCCCAGAAGGATGAAACAATTTGTTAAAGGCATATAGGTACTTAGTAACAAACTCCTGACCTCTTGAGTCTAAATATGGGATTGTGTCCTATTCACTATCATGTTCTTCTTCCAACAAAGGGCCAATTTTCATTATCACTTGACCATTACTAAGTATGCACTGAGACCTTAGCATCTTCTACATGAGATCAAGGAAAGAGGAAATAGGACAGATGGTAGAATGCGCCAGTCTAACAATTAGAAAGTGATTGGCAAAGGGTCGTGAATTGGCAACCTAAGAAAAGATTATTCTAGATTCTCAATTTGGACCACAGTCCCCAGTCTGTGATTCAACTTTGGAAAAGTAAAGTGCAATTAGATGAAGACTTATTGCTCCTCAGGGCATGCCATGGGGCCATCTCAGTCAGTCAGTTAGCCAGTCAATCAGCATTTATTGAGCGTTTACTATGTTATGGACACTGGGCTAAGCATCATGGATATAAAGATAGGGCAATACAATTCTTATCCTCAAAGAGTTCACATTCTGATGGGGAAGCCAACATGTAAATAGATACATGTGAGACCCGTAGAGTGAAGAGAAAGTAATCTGAGAAGGGAAGGCACTAGCAGTCTGGGGAAGGAAAGGTCTCCTGCCGAAGGTGAAATTTAAGATGTGCTGTGAAGGAAGCCAGGGAAACTGAGAGGCAGAGTCAAGGGGCAAAGCATTCCAAGTCTGGGGTACCGCCAGTATAAATATAATCAGAAGATGGTGCATCCTTTGTCAAGACTGGTAGGGAGGCCAGTCTGGCTCTCCGTGTGGATGGGAGCAGCATGTGAGATGCCGCAAAAGGAAAAGGGCATCATAAACTAAAGATCTTTAAAGGTCAAATAGAGGACTTTGCATTTGATCCTAGAGGTAATAGAGAGCCATTGAAGTCCACTGAGCACTAGGGCAAGATGATTAGATCTTTTCTTTAGGAAAATTGCCTTTGCAGCCTAGTGGAGGATGGATTGGAGCAGGGAAAGATTTGAGACCAGAAGATGAATTTAAAGGCTATTGCAGTAGTGCAGGCAGAGGGCTATGAGGGTCTTAACTGGGGTGGTGGCTCTGTTGATAGAGAAAAGGGAATACGTATGAGAGATTTTATAAATATTGCAATGGCAACATTTGGTAACGGATTTGATACATGGAGTAAGGGACAGTGAGGAGCAGGGAATGACAATGAGGGAACAGAACCAGGCGACTGGGGGGATAGGTGGGTGCTCTCGGCAGAAACAGAGATGTTCAGAAGAAGGGAGGGCTTGAGCGGAAAGATCAGGATATGGTATGTTTGAAATGCCTATGGGATGTCCAGTTGGAAATGTCCAAAAGGCAGTTGGTGATTTGGAGTTGGAGCTCAGAGAGCCTAGGGCTAGACATTTAGATCTGGGAATCATCTGCATATCACTGAACTCTTGGTGGAAAAGACATTAAGAGACTTTTCATTGTACCACCATTTTATTTTAATGTTTTAAAGTAGTTCTCCATTTTCTTGCCTATTTAGGAGAAACATGCTATGCCACTTAGCAATGGGCATATTATTCTTTGTTTAGTTAGTCATCTCCTTGTGTGCATGGCGTATCTCACCCAAATGAATACAGGCCCCCAGGGAGTAGGGACCATATCCTGTTCCTAGTTGGGTCTCCAGCTACCAGCAGCACCATTCCCTACCTACTTATCCTTAATTCCTTCAATGTCAGTTAATATTATTTTAAACCCCTATTTTGTGTGCTAGGTGCTGAGGCTACAAAGGAAAAAAAATGAAATAAGCCCTGCCCTCAAGAAGCTTACAATCTTTTGGGAATAGGTAATATGCATCCAGATAAGTAAACCCAAATATATATTCAAAGCAAACCATATGAAAGCTGGCATTTATATAGAGCTTTAAGTTTTGCAAAATATTCTTCAAATATGGCCTCATATGTTTCTTACAATAACTCTGAGAGAAAGGTACTATTATTATCCTCATTTTTCAGACCAGGAAACTGAGGCAAACTGAGGTTAAGAGACTTCCCAAGAGTCACATAGATAGTGAATGTCTGAGACTGGCTTTGAACTTGGGTCTTCCTCACCCTTGGTCCAGCCTTCTCTCCATCCCCAATAAACACTGTATTTTCTTATTCATGTATATGTTGTATCTCCCAGGAGGATTTTTTGAGGATAGAGATTGGTTTCTTTTTGCATATGCAATACCTAGCACACAGTAGGCATTCAAAATGCATGTTGGGTTGAATAAAATATTTGGGAATAATTTAATAACTTTACAATTTTGAATCTTGGAGGTTTCCCCAAGACAATTGCATACTCAAAATATCCTTTCGAGTCTTCACAGGTCCAGATCTACTCTTTTCTTAGAGACTTTAGGCTTCTAAGTCTCCGAAGGGTTCAAGGACAAGGAGTCTGGTGTCCTCAGTAGACAGGGAATGTCTATTAATTTCAGTGCTGTGGTCAAGATTGGTCCTCCCAATGAAGGAATCCCTAGTGAATGGCTCGCTGGCCTTTTGGAAGAAGTACTAGAATCTCTGAGGAATGTCAGATTGTTATATCCTCACGTCCTCTTTTAAAAGAAAACAAAGGCAGCTAGGTGGCTTAGTGGATGGAGCACTGGCCCTGGAGTCAGGAGGACCTGAGTTCAAATCCCGCCTCAGACACATAACACTTACTAGCTGTATGACTCTGGGCAAGTCACTTAACCCCAATTGCCTCACAAAAAATATATATGAGGATTCAAGAACATATTCTTTGTTTTCATATATTAAGCCAGGAAATCAAGGCAAAACTTAAAGGCTTTCTGTTGACTTTACACATCTCAGTAGATTTCTAGTCCTCTTTTTCTCCATCAAACTGATAAAATTCACAGTCATAGAACTTTTGGACTGGAAGGGATATTCAGAGATCATCTAATCTCATTTTAAAGCAGAGGAAACTTAAAGTCAAGAAATTAATGATTTACAAGGTCACATAGTTCATCATAATAGAACCAAGACTACAGTACAATTTGATAAGCTTTGGAAATGGTGAGGGTTTACTAGACCAACCCTCTCAGATCCATTGACTAGGCCCAGGCCACAAAGCTGGAAAGCATCAGAGCCAGGATTTCATCCAGTTTTTCCGACTCCAAATCCAGTGCTTTCTTTCTTAAGTGTATAGACCTCAGGTCTCTTTACTCTTATCCCATTTCTTCTTATTTGTTTCTATATTTTTAAGCATTAAAAATATGAATTTTTTTTGTTTTTAAAGCAACTTCATTACTGAATATAACCCTTCTCCACTAACCAGCAAGCCATCCTTTATAACAAAGCATAAAAGAGGAAGAGAAAAAAATCAGTTTACCAAAACTCAGGAAAACATCAAGTGTGACAACACAGGTGATATTCTACACCTAGAGGCTTCCACCTCTACAAGGAAAGGAGGAAGGTACATTTTTATTCTTCTTCAGGGTTCAGTTCAGTCATTCTAACACTTACCCTTCTTTTCTATTCATTCAGCAGTTACTAAAATGTTTTTCATTCCTAAAGTTGCCATATATGGAAATGGCAGCCAGGAAGCAGCTCAGTATGGACCCAATATTCATTGCTTCTGTAATCTCAGATCTCAAGTCTCCTGATATTCCATGGCTTTTATTTATAGTGTTAAAATAGTGAAGACTCAAAAGAAATGCTTCATTCCCTGAAACTTTGCATACAACTTGGTGACCATAAATAAGCACATAATTTGGATAGATGAGTTGGCACTGTTTCCGCTAACCAAGTTCATTTAGGAGCAAATAACACGTTACAATTTGTCTCGGTGAGCAAGTCCAAACCAGAATGAAAATCGTTGCAGAGCCTGAATTACTTTTCACAACTTCAGAGGATGGCTAACTGAAAACATTCAGCTTTATTTTATGCATTCCCAATATCACCTAAAACTTCATTTGATGACTTTAAAAATATTAGGCAAGAAATGGAAGATAAAAAACCCATTTCGGAGTTTGAGTATAACTATCATTTTTACGCAGAATTTAAGTCCCCGCACAAACTATAATTTTACAACCTATTGCATGATGAGCCACTGAAATTCTGACTTCCTGTGTTCTTGACTTGTTTGTAAATTAGAGTTT